GTATCTACTCTTTGTTGCAGTGCTCAGGCTTCTCGTTTCCGTGACTTCTCTTGTTGCAGAGCATGGTCTCCAGGGCACACGTGCTCAGTAGCTGTGGCTCCTGGGCTTTAAGAGCACAGGCTCAGTAGCTGTGGTACACAAGCTTAGTTGCTCCGCCGCATGTGGGATCTTCATGGACCAGGGGTTGAATCCGTGTCTCATGCATTGGCAGGCAGATTCTTTACCACTGAGCCACCAGGGAAGCCCTGGGATTTGGTTCTTGCCGGAACAACAGGGCCCTGAGAGGCAGTGTGCAAACAGGTGTGCTTTGGAGTTAGCAGAACTGAGTTGGAATTCAAGCTTGCTACCTCCTGGCTATATGACCTTAGGCAAGTAACCTGATGTACAAGTGCTCCTTTCCTTATCTTTAGGTGGGAAAAGTAATCCTTTTCTCCTAGGGTCTTTGTGTGGATTAAATGAAATCATCTCTATAAAGCTCTTAGCCCCGTGTGTGGAATATAGTAAGTCCATAAAGGCTCACTGATGGTGTTACTATTACTGATACCATGCAGATAGATTGATTAACATGACACAGTTGCAGCTATATAAATTCGAAACTCCATGTTGATAAGGACTAGAAGGGAGTATGAAAACAGCTGTTAAAGGGTGGCTGAAAGGGAATTCAAGTTTCTTCAATGCTTAATTTTTTTAGTAAGTGTTCCTGAATGAAATAAATAAAACATACATGCAATGGGTGCTCAACCAGCCTTTGAATGTATGAATGAAAAACAGTCTTAACTTTTTAAATTAAAAAAAAAAATTTTTTTTGACCATGTCCTGAGGCTTGTGGGATCCTAGTTCCCCGACCAGTGACTGAACCTCTGCCCTTGGCAGTGAAAGCTAGGAGTCCCAGTCATTGGACTGCCAGGGAATTCCCTAATTTTTTTTTAATTGGTTGAATCTGTTGCTTAAAAATGTATGATAGTGGATACCCTTGGGGGGGTTATTACTGAAAGGGGGCCTGTGCAGGAAAGAGTGAACACTGCTGGCCTGTGATGATAACCCTGTAAATGCTGAATTTACTATTAGGGGTTTGAGTAAATTTGCAATGAGAAAAAAAAGGGAAGTTTTAAAAAAATGGCTTTGTATTTTGTAGCCATTGTATCTGGAGCTATGATAAAATTGATTTAAAATGTTACATGCTTGTAATTTCATAAATGCTAGTGGAGCCATCTCAAACATGCAAAATTTAAATTAAGAAGGTATTGGTGGGATATAGCTTCCTTGCTTTTCCTATCCATAGGTAGGTAGGAATTTAAATTCTTTGGATTTTAGAACCAGAACAAGTCTCCATACCTGATGAGTTTTGCTAAGATTTGTGTCTGTTGGAACCTCTGGAAAGAGGGTGACAACAGAAGAAGAGAGGCACTCTCTGAATAGAAATACACATTTGGATTTTGAAAAAGCAGTTAGTTAAGTTTCTCGTTGGTCCTTGTTGAAATCAGATATCTGACCCTTAGAGGCTGATGATTGTCCAGTCTGATGTGTGTGTTTTTGAGTGGGTCAGTTTGGACTCTGAGGCTGACAGAAGGGGTACTGTCTGTCTGGCATTGCAGCATGCCTTTGCTACTGCTGAAGAAAAGTGCCCGGCTTGATGGGAATCCCAAATGCACTGACCCTACTTGCCTGGACCTCACCCTAAGCTGAAACCTGACTCTAGCTGTCAGTGCACTCTCCACTTCCCAAGAGCAGTGCTGAACTGGAAGCAGACCCAGGCTCCGTGAACAGACCTCAGTCAGACTCTGGGACCACTGGAGATTTAGGGTCCCTCTGTGGAGCTCCAAATGATGCCAGCATACATTGTGGATGCTGGCTGTACCAACTGGGTCACATACAAATGCCCACAGGAAAGAGCTGTTCTTTGATGGGACCGTCTAAAATCAAGCTGCTGATCAGCTCTCTTATGTAATGCAGAGGCTGATTGCATCCTGACTTGTGATCCCTGCCAAAACCTGCAAGTTGGAGGAAGGCACATCACAGGGACTCTGACCACCAGCCACCTCCTGTTTTTGACATATCAGATTCTGGGCCTTCCCTGGGGGTGGCTCGATGCTTTTGATTTGTGTGCTCAGCCTCCTGGGTGAGCTGCAACTTACCACCACAAGTTGATAGGCTTATTCCTCCTCCTCCTCACTTTCCCCTCTGTACACACACCCTGTAAGGTTAGAGTGACTACTCCAGCGTAGCTGTCCCTGGGAAAGGACTGATCTTTTCTAGGCTGTCTCGGGGGAAAAGGGGTGAAAGGTTATATAAACTCACTATGAAAATTTTTACATTCAGAACTTCATCTATTAGTGTTCTAGGGCTGCAATAACAAAATAGCACAGACTCGATGGCTTAAAAAATAGAAGTGTATTTTCTCACAGTCCTAGAGGCTAGAAGTCTAAGAGCAAGCAGTTGGCACGTTTCTCTTAAGGCCTGTGTCCTAGGCCTGCAGCTGGCAGCCTTCTCACTGTATCTTCACATGGTTGCCCTCTGTCTGAGTGTCTGTGTCTTAATCTCTTATAAGAACACCAGTCATATTGGATAGGGCCCACCCATTTTACTCTAATCACCTCTTTGAAGGCCATATCGCCAAATACAGTCACATTCTGTACTAGATGTTAGGACTTCAGCATATAATTTGGGGAAAACACAGTTCAGCCCAGAACATATCCTGATCAACTCCTGAATATCTTTCTGGTTAAATTATATTAAAATATTTATATGCAAAATTATTCCCATGTCTCTTACACACAGCCCTTCTGGATGAAAGGCCTGGATGAGAATAAAAGATTATTGAAAAAATGTCAGGTTAGTATTGCTGATCAAAAGCCTGGCACCCAGGGAGCTTTGGGGGGCAGGGAGAGCGTTTATGATCTTCATTTCTCAGAACTATTCTGGAAACTTTCCCCTTTTCCTGAAGGAAAGCTCCCAGTGCCATCAGCTGAAAGATTGGCCCTTAGCTGGCGTCTGGGTTCTTCAATTTCAGGGGAGTTCTCATCATTCCCTAAATGATAGGAGTTGCTTACTGAACTTAAACTGTGTAAACAATGTGGTTTATGCTGCATGCCTGCTTTCCTCCCAGGAATGTAGAATTTTGGTGTGTTACAGGCAGAGGGTGCCTATGTGACCAAGCCCCAGAAAAGCCTTGGGCTGGAGTCTCTAATGAGCTTCTCTGGTAGGTAACATTTCACACATGTTGTCAAACTCGTTGCTGGAGGAATTGGGTCCTGTGTGACTGACTCCACTGGGAGAAGACTCTGGGAAGCTTGTGCCTGGTTTCCTCTGGATTTTGCTCTATGCACCTTTCCCTTGGCTGATTTTGCTTCATAACCTTTCACTGTAATAAATCCTAGCCATCTATGAGTAGGACTATATGCTGAGTCCTGTGGGGGGATGGTCTTGGGGCCCCCCAACACAGGGCACAGGGGGCACTTCTGGGGTTGTTGGTCGTGTACTCTTTCTAAGTCTGGGTGCTGTTTACATGAGGTGTACTCATTTTGTGAAAATTCACTGAGCTGTCCAATTAACAGATGTATACTTTTTTGGTACATAGATTCAACTTTATAAAAAGATAAAACAATATTACACACTACAGGGATTAGAAAATAATAATTAAAAAAAACAACTTCCTTTTATTTATAAAGCATTTTAGCCACTCCTTTTTGCCAGGCATTGTGCTGAGGGCTTGGGACATGGGGTAGGAAGGATGTCTTCATTGCCTCTCAGTTTATTGGGAGTTATGTAAAGAGATAACTGTGATATGACCGACTTTTGCTGAGTCCTAGCAAAGACATCATAGGATGCTGGGCTTATAACTTGAGTGATTCTCAGGGTTGCCACTTAAGTATCTATGGAAGCCAGACCAGCAAAGGGACAAAGGCGGGTTAACAGGGAACGCTGACAAACTGGGAAGGTATGTTAAGCATAGAGTTGCGACAGCTAATAGTTTTTTCTTGAGGAAGAGCCACAGAGCTGAATTTTTATGTGAGCTCTCTTGATTTTTCAGTCCTGTATATGAATCCAAATTTTAAAAAGTGAAAGACCAAACAAAACACCTCTGCAGGCCAAATTTGACCTTGGCTTACCAGTTTGCCAGGCATTCTGCCAACCTGTCATTTTTCCCTCTTACAAAACAATTGAGGGTCCACTGTTTCAGGCACTGGGAAATAGAGCAGCTGAGCCAGCCAGACAATTTTCTTGCAGAATGACCCTGACTGGGGTGGTGGGGTTCTGGTACTGTGCTTCTCAAACTTCAATATGTGTGGGAATCACTGGGTAGATTCTGAATTGGGGGGGATCTGCGTTGAGGCCTGAAGCTTTGTCTTTCTAACAAGCTCCCAGGTGTTGGTGATGCTGGTGGCCCCTACTGCTATTTGAAGGAGAAGAGGAGGGGGTTTGTCTGGAAGATGAGTTTGCTTGGCAAGCATCCTCTTTATACTTCGATTTTAGTTTATGGGGTGATTTGGAAGAGAGTTGGTGACTTCTGAAGCGGGTATTAGGGCTCTCCCATGTTGTCTCTCATGCCAGGTTTCTGTTCTCAGAGTTTATAATCTAGAAGGCGGGGTGGGGGTGGAGGAAGGTGCTAGGAAAAGTTTCCTGGAGGAGGTGCTAGCGAACTGCAGGAGCTTCCCTTGCCACCGAGAAAGGAGAAACTCTGAACTCCCCCTCTCCTGGGGCGGGGTCTCAGCAACCTCCCACCAGCTATGGTTTCCCAGGCATCCCACGTGTCTTCAGTCCGCGATCCCTGTCAATCAAGCTCCCCCTAGGGCCTGAGTGAGGGTTTAAAGGCGGCCGCAGTGCAGAGCGCTCCCAGAGTGCCGCGCGGCGGGCGGGTTTGGATTTTAAATCCCCGCGGCCAATCAGTAGCGCGTAGGCTCTTGTAACGTTCCCGGCGCCGCGTTTGAATTCGAGGAGAGGCAGAGCCGTGCCAAGCCTCTGCCTGGACCCTGCTAGGTCCGCTGAGCAACTCCGGGAACATGAGTGCGGCGGCAACTGCAGGGAAGCTGGCGCGGGCACCAGCCGACCCAGGGAAAGCGCCCGGAGTTGCAGCTCCCGGGGCTCCGGCGGCTGCCCCGCCGGCGAAAGAGATCCCGGAGGTCCTAGTCGACCCGCGCAGCCGGCGGCGCTATCTACGGGGTCGCTTTCTGGGGAAGGGTGGCTTTGCCAAGTGCTTTGAGATCTCGGATGCGGACACTAAGGAGGTGTTCGCGGGCAAAATCGTGCCTAAGTCGCTGTTGCTCAAACCGCACCAAAAGGAGAAGATGTCCATGGAGATATCCATTCACCGCAGCCTCGCTCACCAGCATGTCGTCGGCTTCCACGGCTTTTTCGAGGACAACGACTTCGTGTTCGTGGTGTTGGAGCTCTGCCGCCGGAGGGTGAGTGTCGCTGCTGGGGAACTGGAGCTGCCCTGGGGGCGGGGTTGGGGCGCCGGGAACCGGAGCTGCAGGGGAAGGGGCGCCCGGGGGCTCAGAGCTGCTGGGGAAGAGTTGCTGGGAACCTGGAAATGGAGAAAGTCTTGGGGAGAGAGGTTCTTGGCACTTGGGGCCTCTAGGGAAGGAGGCTTCTGGACGCTAGCAGTTGGGTGGATTGGGGGAGGTGCGGGAGAACCTTGCTTATGGACGCCAGGGCTTCCGGAGTTGCTAGGTAAGGGGTACTGAGGACCCTCACTTTCCGGAGTGGGGTTGGGTCAGGCAGAGGGTAGTTGGAGCCAGACTTCGGAGCTTCCGGGGAGGGGAGGGGCAGGAAAGGGATCTGTTGCTGCCAAGAGTTCCGGGACCGGGATACTGGGGACTCTGAGCTTCCGGAGTGGGCTGAGAGAGGGGTCCCAGGTAAGGGACTTGGGTGGGAGCCGGTGGGATAGGGATGCAATGAACTGTTGTGGCCTGGTCTGGGGGAGAGTCTGGATCGCAGTTGTCCTGGAGAAGAAATAGGTAGTAGGGTCCTGACTGCCTTTACCTAATGACAGCACCTCCCTGCCTTGGGTCTGAGTACCGACTCCCACTTCTCCTTCCCTCCTGCTCCCAGTCTCTTCTGGAGCTGCACAAGCGGAGGAAAGCACTCACCGAGCCCGAGGCCCGCTACTACCTGCGGCAGATCGTGCTGGGCTGCCAGTACCTGCACGGAAACCGCGTTATTCACAGAGACCTCAAGCTGGGCAATCTCTTCCTGAACGAGGATCTGGAGGTGAAAATAGGTAAGGAGCTGGGACTGCAGGGGCACTTGACACACAGTGGGAATGAGGAGGAGCTGGGAGGTGGGGCGGGGGAGAGGAAATTTGGAAGGAGACGGGGGAGGGAGGAAGAGGATGGTTGGAAGTCTGGGCTGTTGATTGCCTCTAGAATCCTCTCTCTAGGACAGAAACTTAAAGAGCTACAAGCCAATGTCTTGTCTGCAGATGCACTTTGGGGGGGTGTGTTCTTCTATATGGTTTTTTTTTTAAGAATTTGAATTTGTTTTCACTTTTTTAAAATATCTTTTTCATTTACTTATTTTTGGCTGCATTGGGTCTCCGCTGCTGCATGCTTTTCTCTAGTTGCGGTGAGTGGGGGCAGTGTGCGGGTTTCTCATTGCGGTGGCTTCTCTTGTTGTGGAGCACAGGTTCACTAGTTGTGGCACATGGGCTGAGTTGCTCTGTGGCATGTGGGATCCTCACGGACCAGGAATGGAACCTGTTTCTCTGGCATTGGCAGGTGAATTCTTTACCACTGAGCCATCACAGAAGCCCCTCATTTTCGGTTTTTCTAAACTGAGAACCTTGATGTAAAATTTTGGATTTGGAGCTTCTTTTAAACACTCGAGAGCTGCACCAGCCCAGGGGTGGCATTCCCTCAGGGCAGCTCTTGCTGTACTGAACAGCAGCTGATCCCTTCCGATGCCCTGTGGTTTGCCGCAGCCCCCACCCCTCCGCATCACTTCCTCACAAACTTGCCAAGTAGCCGTCTTGACATTTTGCTTGCTTAATCCCTGAAGGCATTTGAGTGTTGCTATCCCTGTCAATTCCCTTTTAGAAGTGAACCCCTCCTTTCTAAGGGGAAGGGTGAGGAGGGTCTCTGGGAGGCCCTCCCTAGGGCCAGCATGGTGGGAGGATTCCTGGGAGGGCCTTGCTGTACACAAGGGCTAGAGGCTTTGAGAGGTCACGTGGCCCTGGTTCTTGATGGTTACATCTGAGCCAGCTGTCTGCATTGACAGACGACAGAAGCTGGCATCTGAGCCTCCCTCTTCCTCCCTCTGTCCCAGGGGATTTTGGACTGGCAACCAAAGTGGAGTATGACGGGGAACGGAAGAAGACCCTGTGTGGGACTCCTAATTACATAGCTCCTGAGGTGCTGAGCAAGAAAGGGCACAGTTTCGAGGTGGACGTGTGGTCCATTGGGTGCATCATGTAAGTTGGGAGCTGTTTCAGGACCCACCAGTCTCAGCAAGGGGCTTTCTGAACCTCTCACCCAGCAGACTTTATCCTGCAGACCTTTCCGCCTTTGGAAAGGCTGCTCCAGAGGAGAGATGGCCTCCAAAGGAAGCCTCATTGCTGCATTGGTATATCCTGCAGGATTCCTGCAACCTGGGCTCTGGGTTCAGGGAATGAGGGAGGGAATGTCTCCACAAACTTGCTCTAATCCCTCGCTATTCAAAGTATGGCAGACCCAACAGCAGCATCACCTAGGAACTTGTTACAAACGCAGAATCTCAGGACCCAGGCTAACTGGATCACAATCTGGATTTTAAGACCCTTGAGTGATTTCCATGCACAATAAAGTGTTAGAACCACTGATCTAAAAAGCAGCATTGGGTGGGAAGAATTAGGCCAGGAGTGGTGCTGCCACGAGGAGGTCTTGTGGTCCGTCTGGGTCAAGGCCGTCAGGGGGGTGGTAGGCAGAGAGTTGGGCCTGTTCAGATGTTACCCCTTTTGTTGTTTCCCTGGGTACTGGAGAGTTAGAAATGGCTTTTCTACTTCTTTGCATTGGAATTTCCCAAATGAAAACTTGCAGTCTGAAGTACAGAACTGTTAACTGTGGAGCTGCCTCTGAAGGAGCAAGCGGCCCCTGCTTGGACCTGTTCTGTGTTAGCTGGCAGCGTCTGGCCCCTAGATCACCACAGGCTATAGCTGAAAAGTCACTGATCATTAGAACCCCGTCTCATCACCTGTATTCTACTGAGGGCTCCTCCCTGCCAGTGTTGTGGCTTCTGGGGCTGCTTAGTGAATTTGTAAATTGTCCTCTGGGACCCCAGAGTCACAGTGAATGCCCAAAAGATGTCTGACTTCCTTTCTGGCCCTGAGAGGATTCCTCCCTGGATCTGGGTTTTGGTTGGGAACCTTGAGCCAAATTCCTCCTTGTGCTTACAGGTATACCTTGTTAGTGGGCAAGCCACCTTTTGAGACCTCTTGCCTAAAAGAGACCTACCTCCGGATCAAGAACAATGAATACAGTATTCCTAAGGTGACTAAAACCACTTTAAGTTTAGATTTGTTTTATTTAATTCCCTCCCCCACCAAGCGATTTACTGAGCCCAGCCATATCCTGGGGACAGAGAGGGTCAGTGCCACCCCTAGGGTAAGCGTTAAGAGCTTTAGAGGGTCCTGTCTGAAATTGCATACAGAGTCTGGCGTATGTGCACAGAAACAGTTTTTCTTAGGATGAGAGTTTGTAGGCCCTCAACAGTTGGGCAGATAACCCAAAAGACATGTAAAACACAGAGAGAGACAGCAGGCATAGGGGGCAGACAGAGAACTGCTGCCTATCCTGGCAGTGGACTGTCTTGGTTCAGATGGGCTCTGCCACTTTTTAGCCAGATCACAAGGGACAAATGGCCTGAGTCTTCTGAGCTGGAGTCCCTGCCCTAGAGCACCTTGCGCACAGTGAGTGCTCATGGAATCTCGAACCACCGTGAAGGCAAAGTGGTGTGCTTTTGCAACCACCAGCAAGAGTGCATTGAGAGGGACCATCTGCAGCAGTCTGGCACACTGCTGCTTCCCAGTTTGGTGTCTTTGTCTTATGTGAAGCCAAGAGTCCTATCTCCATCAGAACAGATGGGCTGAATCTGTTACAGAGGGTCAGTTATTGGGCAGAGCAGAGTGGTTCCAAGTGTGGGTGTTGCAGCTAACTCTGGCTCAATGTGGGTGCTGGCTCCACCACTCACTCAGGATGTATCTTAGGCACTTAACTTCTCTGTGCCTGTTTCCTCATCTGCAAAAGTGGGATGGTACTAGAGATCTTCACTCCTTGGGTGTTTCTGTGAGGGTTAAGTGAGTTCATCTACATGAAGTACTTAACAGTATTTTTCTGGTACATAGTAAGTACATAGTTGATGCTAGGCTTTACTGTGCATTTGACCTACCCTGGGTTGGATCTCCTTACCAGGGCTCCAAGCTTGGTGCTGTGTCTCCACTTTATAGATGAAGATGCAAAGGCCCAGAAAGTTGGGTTAGTTGTCATAGCTGGTGTTAAGGGACAGAAGTGGGACTTAAACCAGGTCTTTATGACTTTCAAGCCTGTGTTTTCAAGTGCTGTTGTAGTGGTGAGCAACTTGTCAACTTAGTAAAGCTGCCAGTGGAAACTTGGCACATTTCTAGCCACTGAACATGATGTATTTGAGGCCGGGTGGGGGGTGGTGATGCAGTACCCAGGTCCCATGTCATATCCTGCTTATGATTCCCCCTCTCCCCTCCAGCACATCAACCCCGTGGCCACCTCCCTCATCAAGAAGATGCTTCAGCCAGATCCCACTGCCCGCCCAACCATTCACGAGCTGCTCAATGACGAGTTTTTCACTTCTGGCTATATCCCTGCCCGCCTCCCCATCACCTGCCTCACCATTCCACCGAGGTTTTCGATCGCTCCCAGTAGCCTGGACCCCAGCAACCGGAAGCCTCTCACCGTCCTCAATAAAGGTAAACCAGAGTGGGTAGACGGTCTTGCCTGCCTCAGTGTATGAATGGATGGTCCCCAAAGCTCAGGTGTGCAGTCGGAGAGGCCCCAGTCTTTGAGTCCATGGTCCCCATCCTCATGTGGCAAATGCCTTTCCCCACAGCTCTGTCAGGAAAGACAGACCTAACCATGACTGAATCAGACCTATCATGTCCTGAGAAAAGAGAGTGGCTAAATGCCATGCCTGAACAATTCTTAACATTTTTAAAAAAAAATCACTAATATCGCCCTGCTTGGTTCATTGGAAAAATGTTGAGAAGCTTCAAATACACACACAGAGCACAATGTATGTGGGACCCCCACATTGCCACCAGATTCAACACTTACTAAGATTCCTAATGTTTGCATCATCACTCCTTGTTTGTTCCTTTGAGGTATTTTTGAAGTTAATTCCAGACATCTTGCCATTTTACCCCCAGGAACTTCTGTACGCATCTCTCTAAAAGGATAAACATTTTCTTACAAAACCACATCTCGTTGCTTGGGTTGTCATTGTTTCTAGGTCTCTTCAGAGAGGAGAATTTGAAAATACATAACTGGGGTGGCGGGTGACCTTAAATTTATGCTATTTCTGATTCACATTTTTGAATGTTTTATTTCAATATTATTTCAAAATGTGAAAAGTATAAGAATAGACAAAATCCTCCTGTATCTTGTACCCTCTTTTCTCCACCAATTAACATTTTTCTACACTTACTTTATCTCTCATTATGTGTGTGAGTGTGTGTGTATTGTTTTTGTCCCAAACAATATGATAGTAAGTTTTACACATTCTGGCCTTTATTACTTAGTACTTCAGTGTATGTTTCCTAAAAGCAATTCTTTTATGTAACCACAACACAGGACACAGTTATCAAGTTCAGGAAATTGAAATTGATGCAAACTTGTCTTACAGCAGTGTTTTTCTCCACTGTGGAATTACTACTATAATTTTCTTTTGGTAATTTGTAAGTGTCTAATTTAATATTATAGGATTTTTACTTTAATTTTATGCTTATATTTCTTTTTCTCTTATAATGAAAACCTTGTTTGCTTACACTGTATACATGAATTTTCAACATATATAAAGTACGTTATGAAACTATGTTTATTTCCATGCATGCAGTTCTTTTTGTCCTTAGACTGTATTTCACCAAACAAACAAAAACCCAAGAAAAGCCACTTGAAATACTTTATTTCTCTGTGTGGATATAGCACAACTTTGAGTTCATTTGTTTCGGTTATGACACTGCTGTTTTAAGGATTACCTTTTTCTTTTGGCTATTTTCTCTGGTTATATTAATACTTCTTTTGATTGGCAATCACTTGGTTAAGGGGGTGTCTCCACTGCATAGTTACTGTTTTTCCTTCGGTGATTAATTTATACCCTGTGGGGAGTTTTTCTGAGAGAATACTGTTTCTCAGACTTTAGCTCACTGATGTTAACATCCATGGTGGATGCAGCAGCAGTTATTACTGTGGTAGTCTAATGGTGATTTTTCCCCTTTTCTTGTTCCCTCTAAATCTATTAATCAAAATTCTTCTGTAAGGAAGAACTGTCACTTCTCTCCCATTCATTTATTTGGTTGGTATGGACTCATGGATTTATTCTTAGAGCTATAAGGTAATATTGTTATTTTAAAGGATTGCTTTTTTTTTTTTTTTTAATTTTAGATATAAAGCATTTTTTAAAACCCAGAAGTAGAGTGAACTTTTTGGGGAATACATAAATCCCCATTTTTCCTCATCTGTTTTTAATAATTATCATCGTCTGCCTATATTTGTTTTTATCTTTTCCACCTTCTTCTTCTTTTTGCTAGATTTTTTGGGGGGAGGTTTTGTTTTGTTTGCTCTGCCCTGTGGTTTGTGGGGTCTTAGTTCCCCAACCAGGTACTGTACCCACGGCAGTGAAAGAACTGAGTCCTAACCACTAGACCGCCAGGGAATTCTCTTGCTAGAGTTTTTAAAGCAAGTCTCAAATATTCTATTCTTTCAAACTGAAGTCTTTATCATAGCATAGATATTTTTAATTGAAAATTCAGATCTTTAAATATTGTAAGAATTTCGTATTATACAAGGGGAGCTAGCACATGAACGAATTAAACTTTTAAGCATAAAAGGCAATAAAAATCATCCATAATTCCACCACCCAAATATACCTAGTCTTAAAATTTCAGGGTGTATCTTTTTAGATTTCAGTCACATTTAAGTACATAAAGCAGATTTTAGGGGGGAAAACCTCTTATGTTTTCATTAAATGCCTGTTAGGCCATCTTATGGGTTGCAATTTACTGAGCCCTTCCATTTTCCTGGATACAGAAGATGCTATTAATTCTTAGATTGAAACCAGGCAGCTCCAAGCTACTCAAGACCAGAGGTGCCCAGCAGGGCCCAGCATTGCGTCAGGGGCCTGAGTGTCTAAAGTATTATGTCTGTGTGTGGCCGTGAAGCCTTGTCTACAGGGCCTGGCCTGGCTCTGGAGGTATCAGCGAGTGAGTTCAGGTGCTGTCACATGAGCAGGGCAGCTCCTTCAAAGAGTTTCTCGGGCTGTGGTCAGGGGTCCTGGGCCCTCAAATCCTGCAGCCTTTGTGCCCAACTAATGACCGTTCTCCTCTCTTTACAGGCATGGAGAACCCCATGCCCGAACGTCCCCGGGAGAAAGAGGAACCAGTGGTGCGAGAGGCCAGTGAGCCTGTCGACTGCCACCTCGGTGACATGTTGCAGCAGTTGCACAGTGTCAACGCCTCCAAGCCCTCAGAACGGGGGCTGGTGAGGCAAGGTGGGCACCGGGAGTGGGCAGGGAGGTCTCAGGCCCCTGGCTGCACAGTGCCTTTCCTTCTCCCGTTTCCTGTACATTACAGCCCAGGGGAGTTGGCCTGCTGGCTCAGGCCCTCCGTGGTCAGGCCTCTCCTTTCTTTTTGTGACTCATCTGTTCTGTCTCCGCAAGTGCCGCACCTTTCAGCAGCTCCATATGCTGCCTGCGTGCTTCTGCACACACTATCTCTTCTGTTCAGGGAATTCCTCTGTGGCCTCAAGACAGTGGAAATAACAGACCCAGGCATGCTGCAGCTTCAGGGCCTTTGCTCACACCGTTCCCTTCCCCCAGCACGTGCTTCATCCAGATCCCTGCATGGCTCACACTCACCCCTTCACGTGCTTCCACCAGCGTTACCTCTGTGAGCATCTCCCTGCCCCTGATTCGTAGCATTTCTCCTCCCCCTTACCTGCCTTATGTTTTCCACAACACTTCCCATCTAACATAAAGTTTCCACACTGGTTTATTGTATTTAAAAGAGGGGATTATTGCATGTGCAGAACATCACATTTTCATACATCTGAAATTAGCTTCTCTTACAATTTTTTAATCACTCAAAACTCAGTGATTCTCATCATGATACTTACAAGTAACTTACATATTCTGTGCATATTTATTTTGATTGGTCTCTAGCCCTGGAGCCAGTATGCAGGCTCCAGGAAGTGGGTTTTGTCTTTGCTCACTGTGCCTGTGATGGCGCCTGGCACACAGTGGGCCTTTGATACATGAGTCAGCTGGACGCACAAGTAGACTCAGCATGCTGCACTGACTTTCTGCCTCAGTGCTGCCTGTCTAAGCTGCTTGATAGCAGAGGCCTGACTCTGCTCTCCTCTGGGGTCCCAGGCCACTGGACCGAGTTCCCTGGTGTGGGCCACCCGAGCGGATCAGAGGGGAAGAGGCTGGTCCTGACTGGTTGTCTTATCTGTTTCTGTCCCAGAGGAGGCCGAGGACCCTGCCTGCATCCCCATCTTCTGGGTCAGCAAGTGGGTGGACTATTCGGACAAGTACGGCCTCGGTAGGTTTCTCCCAGGTGGGTGGGTAGCTCGCGACCCTCTGAGTTGTTACAGGCACTTGGCCATTTTGACTCTTGGGTCCGCTTCCCTCAACACTCTTCTGTCTCCATCCCAGGCCTCCTAGTTCCAGCCCCCAATGCCCTCCCTGCTCCTCACTCCCTCTTTCTGAGGTCTCCTTCCATCTCCCACTAGGATATCAGCTGTGTGACAACAGCGTGGGGGTGCTCTTCAACGACTCCACGCGCCTCATCCTCTACAGTGACGGTGACAGCCTGCAGTACATCGAGCGGGACGGCGCGGAGTCCTACCTCACCGTGAGCTCCCACCCCACCTCCTTGGTAAAGAAGGTGAGTGCGAGCTGGCCCGCGCGGCCCTGTGTCGCTGGGGTGGGGGCTGTGCCCGGAGACAGGCTCTAACTCCGGACTCCCTCTCTCACCCGCCAACCAGATCACCCTCCTGAAGTACTTCCGAAACTACATGAGTGAGCACTTGCTGAAGGCAGGCGCCAACATCACACCTCGGGAAGGCGACGAGCTGGCCCGGCTCCCCTACCTACGGACCTGGTTCCGCACCCGCAGTGCCATCATCCTGCACCTCAGTAATGGCTGTGTGCAGATCAACTTCTTCCAGGTGAGCTGGGCCCTGGAAGGTTCGGGTGGGGTGTCTGTGCCTTTCTGCTGGCCCATGGAGTTGGGTGGAGAGTGGGGGGCATGGATCCATCCTTGGCAGCAGTAGAAAGAAATGAAATGTATCCCCCTCCCGTCAGCTGACCCATCTTCCCTCTCCTCCTGCCAACACACAGTAGTAGCTGGGTCTTCAATCACCAATAACCCCCTCTGTCCATCTTCTTGCCCTCTCCCTCACAGGACCACACCAAACTCATCCTGTGCCCACTGATGGCTGCCGTGACCTACATCGACGAGAAGCGGGACTTCCGCACGTACCGCCTGAGCCTCCTGGAGGAGTACGGCTGCTCCAAGGAGCTGGCCAGCCGGCTGCGCTATGCCCGCGCCATGGTGGACAAGCTGCTGAGCTCACGCTCGGCTGCCAACCGCCTCAAGGCCTCCTCATAGCCCCGACCCCCTGGACTGACGCCCTCCTCCCACAACTAGCACCTTGGCCCACGCTGGTTAGCGCCGTGGTGCTGTCTTAGAGTGTGTCCCCCAGCCCTGGGGGCCGGGGCGAGAGCTTCATCCTCCCTGCAGGTGGGGGCTGCCGTGTAAGTTATTTTTGTACATGTCCGGTGTGGGTTCTGCGGTCTCTCCCCTTGCCCTCGGGCCCACCCTGTGAGCCGTACAGAACATGGCTGTTGAATCCAGGACTGTCCTCGCCTTTGCACACATTAAACATACGTGACCCTTCCTTCCTTCTGTGTCCCGAGGGGTGCACGCCGCGGCTCCCGTGGCCCCAGCGGCCTGGCCTCTGCTGGCCCGCCGACCCGGGAAGGCTCAGCTCCCCGCCGCCCCTGTGGCCGGCGGGTAGTAAGGCAGGAAGAGGCTCTCGGAGGCGCAGCTCCTCATGGCACTGTGCGTGTGCAGCAGCAGCCGCGGGAAGCGGTTGGTGAAGTACTGGACGAAGCTGTCAGGGACAGAGCCCAGCGTCTGCCGGACCTCTTCTGGGAGCTCCCTGTAGTGGTGCTTCTGGGGGGTCGGAGCAGAGAGCTGGGGCTCAGCCGGGCCAGGCCTCAGGCCTCCCCACCGTCCAGGCCCCTCCCGAGCCCCGGAACACACCTTGTTCCTCACAGCACGGAGCAGGTCTCGCACCGATGTCCCCCTGTACGACCGGAACCTTCTCAGATCTGTGGGCAGGGAAGGCATTGGCACAGCCGTCCCTGCTGGGGCGTCCCTTCGGCCTCCCGGGCCCCCCCGAGTCTGGCCTCTACCTGTCTGCAGCGGCACCGAGATGTGCTTGTGCCAGTCACTCCGGACCACCTCAGAGCCTCCCGCCTCGAGCGCTGTCACCAGGGGCCCCTGCTCAGGCTCCTTCTCCAGCCAGTCGCTGACATCCTAGGACCCACAGAGCTTCCGAGCCTCCTGACCGGGACTGGAGGCCACAGGCCAGGAGGGTCCAATGGCTGGGGGCGTGGAGCAGCCAGCGCTGCTCGGCTCAGGGTAAAGGATTGCTGCCTCCTGTCAGGTGGAGCTTCTCTGCTATGCAGGGGCTAATCCAACCTGTGACAGAGCTGCTGTTTTCCCCATTTTACAGATGCGCAAACAGGCTCAGCGACTCAAGGTCACAGGAGTGGAATGCGCTGTCTGGGAGACATCTAGGGCTGAAAGGCATGGTGTATGTCCTCACACCAGGGGCAGCTGGGCCTGGAAAGCGGTGCTGAGGAGACCGTGCAGGGCCGAGAGGGCAGTGTGTGGGAGTCTGGGCTCTGTCTCGGTTTAGATCAAGGAGCTGGGCTGCCTGGAACACATAGATGAGTCTCCTTCCTGCAGCCAATCTGGCTTCCCTTCTTGCTCAGAACCCAAACTCCCTGCGGCCTCTCTCCAGATTTCCAACTGACCTGGAAGAACTGGAGCTGCTTGGCTCTGCTCCAGAAGAAGGGGTGGGCCAGCACCTGGTGAGCGGCGGGGCGAGCCTGCGGCAAGGGGCTGAGCATGGCCTCCACCAGGCTCCGGGCGACGACCTTGTCTGCAGGGGCGAGAGGGAGGAGTGGTTTCAAGCCCTGCCAGCCTCTTCCTTGCTTACCCCCCTCCTCTGCCAGCCCAGGTCCCCCTCACCGTGGGCCTCTTCCTCCAGGTGAGCCAGACAGGGAGCCCCCGCAAGGATGTTTGCCTGACGATAAAGACTCTCCCCGAAGGGGTGGCTGCCACCGGAAAGTACATAGTAGAACACACAGCCTGCAGAGAAGATGTCCACTGCGCTGGTCTGGGGGCCAGAGGGACAGAGATGAGGAGGAGGTCTCTGCTCCAGGAAGTCTGCCTGGCTGCACTCTGCCCGAGGCTGGGGTGGAAGCCCGGGATTTGGTTCAGGCTAGAACTCAAGGATGCTTCCCAAGAGGCATCTTCATGACCCTACATTCCCTCCTGTCTGCACTGGTGAAAGGGATGCGTGGTTTTCACCCAGAGTCTTTGCCCCCACTGAGCCTCTAGTTTAGGTTCTCCACGCGTTATTCCTCCAGGTCTGGTGGGTGATGCTGACACATTCGAGTGAAACTTGGCTGGGCGTGAGGCAATAAGGCAGCATTGGGGACTGTGATCTGGTACCAGCCCAGTCCACAGGTGGCCACTGGCAACTCAGCTGCAGCTGATTGCCTAACGGGGGACCAGGGTGTCAGAGCTTTTGATTTTGTGAAAGAATCCAGAAATCTAGACTTTTATGTGGAATTTCCCAGAAGTTAAAATGGTGGCTGCAAATTTAAAAATTTAAAACCCGCACAGGCTCCTAACGTGAGTACCCTGGTTCTTGGGCCTCCACATTGCCACTTCTAGCTCTCAACTTCAGGAGTGGGGGTGACTCTGGTCTCCTTGTGTGTTACTCTCATCCATGCCTACGACTTCCCTCTGAACACTGACTCAAAAATCTATGATCCTGGGTCTCCAAGTGCCTCCGGCGGTCAGAAACTGCTCTGTAACAGTTATATTAGCTCATGCGTGTGTGTGAGCTAAATCACTTCAGTCGTGTCCGATGCTATGTGGACAGTAGCCCGCCAGGTTCCTCTGTCTGTGGGATTCTCCAGGCAAGACTGCTGGAGTGAGTTACCAGTTCTTCCTCCAGGGGGTTCTTCCAAACCCAGGGATTGAACCTGCGTCTCTTAAGTCTCCAGCATTGGCAGGCAGGTTCTTTACCACCAGCGCCACCTGGGAAAACCATTAGCTCATCTGATGCTCCGCCAAACCCTCCAATCTGGGTGGCTGTCTTCACAGTAAAGTCACTGGGGGCCAGTTACTGGGTGTGGGGCCTGGGCACCTGAATTGTTTCAAGCTTCTCAATGACTACAGCACAGTGGAGATGAAAACCATTTTCTAGCTCAGTGCTTCCCAACCTCGGGACTTGACATTTTGGACCAGGTAATTCTTGGTCCTGCAGGACCATCCTGCGCATTGGGTGTCTCACAAGCATCTCTGGCCTCTGCCCCCAGGTGGCAGTAGCAACTTTCTTTTCCCTGCCAAGTGGGACGACCCACAATGTCTCCAGACATTGCCCAGTGATGGCAAAAGTCTCCCCTGGTTGAGAACCACTGCCCTAGGGGAAAAAGGGAGGCATTATCCCCACTTTACAGATGAAGAAACAGGCTGGGAGGAGTCACTGAAGGCCACAGAGCGGGTGATCCAGAGCCCAGGCAGCAGAGACACTGGGCGGGGAGGCCTGCCTGCAGCCTGGGGCGGCAGGACTCACAGGGCTGTCCGGAGGCGGGACCTGCAGGAGCTCGGGTGCCATCCAGCCTTCTGTGCCCGGGATGCCCGAGCGGAGGCTGAAGCTGCAGCGGCCGGCGGGTAGCTTCTTGCAGAGGCCGAAGTCTGAGAGGACCACTCTGCCCAGGCCCTGGCTGTCAGGCCCCGCAATGAGGACGTTGCCCGGCTTCAGGTCGCGGTGCACTGTGAGAGCAGAGCAGAGACGAGAGCTGAGAGCTGAGGGGGGCAGGCAGGGGCTCGGAGGGAAGCTGGGAGGCGCTGGTACCTATGTGCAAGGAATGCAGGTGAGCCAGGCCCGCCATCAGCTGCTGCAGCGCCATCCCGGGCTCCAGGCCCCAGCCGTCTGGCTCCGGGTGTTCCACGTACTGGGGAGCAGTGAGGGGCAGAGCGTCACCCTGCAGCCCAGGACCGCCGGCCCCGCTCCCACCCCTGAGCGCAGGCCTCACCTCCCGCAGCGAGGCCCGGCAGAGCTCCAGGGCAATGTAGTGGAACTGGGGTCCCCGCTCGGTGCAGAAGTAGCGGAGCACGTTGGGGTGCCTGTCCGATTCCTGCAGCAGCTGCACCTCCCGCCGGACCAGGCTGAAGCACTCACGGAGGAGCCGCTTGACCGCCACCGCCCGCCCCTCAAACTGTCCCCTGGGTGGAGATCCACAGGGCAGACGAAAAGGGAATCATTAGGATCCACGCCCGCCTTGGGGGTTCTTTAAAGCGGGGCTCTCCAAGGGACAGTGGCCACCTCAGCCCAGCTCCTGGCTGCCACTCACCGGAAGACAAAAGTCCCACCGGCCCCGCGGCCCAGGACGTCCTTGGGGTTGAAGGAGATCTTCCCCACCACGGTGAGCTGCTCGGCTGGGGGAGAGGAGCGGGGGTCTCAGGGGGACTCTGCCCACGGCCGCCACCCCGCCCAGTCCAGACCCGCCCCCGGCAACCTCGGTCTTTCTCCGGCCTCCCACTTCCATGCCCCGACGGGTGCCAGATAGGGTCCAGTGCCTCAGGCTACCCCTTACTCCAGGCAAGTGACCTAACCGCGGTGCCCTGGTTTTCTCATCTGTAAAGTGGGACTACGTCAAGGATCCTGCATAATATTACTGTGAGGATTAATGGAAAAAAGGGTGGAGACGAGGTCTACTCTGCTGTTCTCTTTCATCATTTTCCCTCTTCTGGCATTTTCTGCCCAGGTTTCTTTCCTTTCCCCACCTCCATCAGTTACTAATATATAAACCCTTTCGACTGAGGTATTAGATTCAAATAGGAAAGTGAATTTTGGCAGCCGGAAGCATGATAAAGGTGAAGGCTGTGGCAGAAAAGACTGTGCTGGGCGCGAATCAAGGAGGGTGGGGAACGGTGGGCATGTGGATGCTGAACTGTCGAGAATTAGTTCCAGGGCAGCAGGGAACCCCCAGAAGGCCTTGGCTTCCTGTTACGAAGGGTGGGGTTGGATTTTCCTGGTGGTCCAGCGGTTAAGAATCCGCCTGCCTAGTGCAGGGGACGCGGGTTTGATCCCTGGTTTGGGAAGATTCCACATGCCCCAGGACAAGTAAGCTCATGCTTTGCAACTACGGAGCCCATGCACCTAGAGCTCGTGCTCTGCAAGAAGAGAAGCCACAGCAATGAAAAGCCCGTGCACCACAACTAGAGAGGTAGCCCCCTGCTTGCAGCAACTAGAGGAAGGTCTCCGAAGCAATGAAGACCCAGCACAGCCAAAAATAAAT